ATGTGTATAGCTGTGCTTGTAGAAATATGACAAGAAATCGAAATCTCCACTCTCTGTTTTTCACTCTCTGTAAAAACCCCGAGAGCCGTTTTGGAAGTGGGAGATAATAATGCCACGTCACCGACAGCAAATCACCCGTGTGCAAGACTGATAGTGATTCTAATTTCCAGAACTGCTTGAAAACAAGCTGTACGCAGTTCGGCTTCCTGTAATGTTAATGAGGCCCATATCATTTAAGACAGAAAGGTGCATGGATTGCGAGAAGACGGATTTTCCCAGTTTGCGAATCCATGTCTTGTCATTGAGGGGAACTCTCTTCCAAAAGCGGCGTTCTTCCCGCCTCCTGTTAATCACTTACAACGTACTGAGTGTCGTGTGCTATCAAAGCAAATGAATCTGGCAGGCGTGCTCTCTTTGGCTTGAGGTGGCATGGGAAAGCGAGTGTAGCCGCTGATGGCTACATTCGTTTGACCACATGAACAGTGCTGTCCAGAGTCTGAATCTTTTTTTCGCTTTCGATAAAAGGCAGAGGAACTCGGCCATTAATTATTTGCCCAAGAATTGCTCAGCTTTTTGGTGCAAGCTCGTTCTCGTTTTTCAGGCTGGCTTACTGTACTACAGTTTTGGCTATGTGATGCTGGTCTGTAGTCTAGGCCTGAATGCGCTTCATATGGCACTACAGCGGGAGAAATCGATGCTCAAATTGTGCTCCGAAATGTTGACAAAACCGCAGAATCTTGTACTTTTGTTTCTTCACATGGCACTTTTCGGATTTTCCATTCTAACGTTAACAGTGAATCGTTTGACCCTGGGCAGTAGTACGACGTTGCTCTCCTTTTCAGCAATACTGCTTGTCCCAGTACCTTCGCTTTTCTATGTCCTCACTGTTGGATTGACCGATCCACAACACATACATAGTGTCTCATAGCATAAATCACTGCTGCCTTACAAAATGCATTCCAGAATCGGGGGGATTGTTTACAAGTTTAATCCAATTTTTGCAACGATTCGTTTCCTCTGCCATTTTCTTGACATGGGGGTATAGTTTCGTGCATTGCTTCTGTTTAGTACGGCGGTCAAGATTTTTTTGAATTTTGTACAGCTGTTAACCTCAGTTTATTCATTTTTGAGATTTGTTTATTTCTCCGAAAAATTTTTTTGAGGCTGGGAAAACAAATTTATTTGTCCATTCGCACTGAATTAATCCTACAGTCCTCTGTTCTCACTTCAGATGGGATTGAATTTTTTCATTGTTTTGCGGAAAAGTTCACTTAAAACAGAGGTTACTCTTGTGCAAGTTTTTTAGCGTCTTGATCTCAAGATTTTCAGTTTTTCGATTCCGTATTATCCGGAATTCGCGAAATTGGGTCTCCAAAAGACTTCATTAGATTTGGAATTTTGAAAATGTCTCCTTAGTTTTAATATAAAAATTGCCTTCAAATTCTCGTGTTTTTTCGAGGGGAACTTTTTATTCTTAGTTTTTTTATGAATTTTCGTACGGCTTCAGTGCATTGCACGGGTATGGTTTTTTTTTTTTGCTTGTTTGCTTTTTTTTTTTTTAAATTGTGCTGTAGTGGAGTTAGACTGTTGTTTTTTTAGGACGTTTCTTTGGCTCATTCCTCTAGTAAGCGATATTTGTCTTTCCAGTTATGTACAGTTGTGTTTCTGGTACCCAAAACGTGACTAATCTGAATGAAAGCGAACAAAAAGATGTAGGCAAAGGGATTGGTGAAGCTGTTTTCTCAAGGCGGCACGGCTTATTTTTTTCAGTGCACACAACGGAGTGTTTAGTCTTTCAGTCTTACCACTGATGACTGCTAAAATAGAAGGCTTCTTTCATCGCCTTCATACCAGCTGTTATGTCACGGTGAAGGAGAAATGGTCCTGAGCTCTCCAGTAGAGATCAGTCATACCGTTGTTTCGATTTTTCCAGAAATTATTGCTGTTATCAGTCCGAAGAGAGTTGCCCTGATTTTTGATCACATACTGATTTTAATGAAAGCAAAAAAGTTGTAGCTTTTTTGCTTATTTTTCATCTTTCCTCACGTAATCA